GCAGCCGAAGACTCGTAACATTTTTGTGCTGCCCAGTTTCCCTGTCCACAGCAGATGCGGTGATGCGTTGTTCGGGAGTGACGACGAGGAAAGCAAGTTGTGCAGCATTACGGCGTGGTCCATTGCTTCGGGCCACTGGTGGTTGGGTAGCCGCATGCCACGTAACAGTTTGCGCATGGTGTTCTGCAGAGTCCTGTTCATCCTTTCTGCTACACCCTGCTGTTGATGGGCGTAGGGAAGGGAGATGAGTCTCTTGATTCCCTTCTCCGCCAGATACTGCTTGAACCGCTGTGACGAGTATTCTCCTCCTCCGTCTGATTGAAAACTTTTGAGCTTAGCTCCTGATTCCCGTTCTGCTGCTGGAAGCCATGCTATGAAAGCCTCGAAAGCCATGTCGCGACTTGGTAAGTTTAGGTGCCAGACGTAACGTGTAGCGGCGTCGATGAAGGTGATGGTGTAGTTATACGCGTTTTGTCCGGGTTCGCGGTTGTACAAGATGTCGCTGTACACTTTCTCGAGTGGTGAATATGCAGGTGCGCTTGGGTTGTGATGCGAGACGAAGGGCTGATGCGGTAAGTCAGCTTCGGGGCAGGTGAAGCACGTTCCTCGAGCTCGCTGAAGTTCTCTGCCGTCGGTCAGTAAGAGTGAATCCTTGTCAAGTACTCCAGCTCTTATCGTGTTGTTTAATACTGTGTTGCTTGGGTGTCCCATTCTTGCGTGCCAGGTTTCTTCGTTGGCGCGGTGTCCTGGCGAGCGTCGGTACATGTCGGAGTTGGAGTAGAAGCCGGCGATGATGTTCGTGCTTCTGAACTTCCCGTGGTGCCGGGTTGAGCTGCTGCGCCGGTGTCGGCGGCGTCTCGTTGATGAAGGGCTGTGCCGTTGAAGGACCAGTGACTGGTGTTAATGTTTCTGCTGCTGCTGCTGTCGTCGGTGCTGCTGCCGATGTTGTCTCTGCTGCTGCTGATGTTGTCTCTGCTGCTGCTGATGTTGTTTCTGCTGCTGCTGATGTTGTCTCTGCTGCTGCTGATGTTGTCTCTGCTGCTGCTGATGTTGTCTCTGCTGCTGCCGACTGCTGAATTGTCGCTAACGCCCTTGTTCTCTCTGTTTCAGGAATGGTGTGCGAGTACCAGAAACCGCTCGGACTGAAGTCTGGATCAAGATCTGGAGGATGTGTCCAGTTGGTGAAGTTTACGATGGCGTCGCTGTCGGCCGTGCCAAGATCGGGAACGAAGTCGAGAACGAAGACGTTGTTCTTGAGGACCGCCTTCCCGATGTAGAGACCTCCCCTTCCGTGGTACAGCTTGAACTCTTGAGTTGTGCTGTCTGCTTCAAGATGAATGCCTTTCGCCATCAACTGACTGACGCTCAGTAAGTTGTAGCCCAAGCCCTCTGCGATTAGGACCTTGGACATCTGCAGAATAACATTTGTCTCTCGTGACTGAAGTTGAACAACTCCTTGTCGTCGTGTGCGCAGGTTCTGATTGTTGGCGACGGTGATGACAACTTCCCGTTGAAGCTGGTACTCTCGCTGCACGAAGCGTCCTGAAGAACACATGTGTTGCCCGCAGCAACTGTCCAAGAACCACGTGTCCTTTCCGGATGGCTCGTTTTGGGCGATGGCGGCATAGGTTGGATTCGGTTGAAGTGCTTCGCGGCGAGGTGTCGTTTCATCGAGCTGTTCTTCTGGTGAGTAGTATGGTGGTGATTCTGTGATGCAAGAATCGTTCAGTCTTGCCATGCAGCTAACGATGTTTCTTGTTCCTTGCGCAGGTTGTCCCGTTGGAGTTGTTGAAGATTGGAGCTGGGTCGTTGGATTCGCCTGTGTTGATGCGACTTGATTGCTTGAAGGTCGTAGCTGTCGCTGCGGAGTCGTTGACTGTTGTCGATTCGGGCAGTGCGTGCGCGGGTGTCCTGAAGTCTTGCAGATGTGGCAGAAAGGAGGTACTGGCGTTGGTTGTTGCTGTCGATTGTTGTAGTTGTTGTGACGTCGTTGAGTGTGAAACGCGAACTCTGATGTTGTCGTCTTCTTTCTGTGTCGTTCTTCTTGCAGGTCCATGTCCTGCTGCTCGGCGTGGATTTCGGCGCAGAGTGCTGCTTCAGAGATTCTCCCGTGGGCTCGGAGGATAGCTTTGGTGGCGCGCCATTGGGGACCGAGACCACCAATGATGACTGTCACGAAGGCGTCTTCAGAGATTGACCCTCCGCATCGAAGAAGCTTGTCGCGCAGTTCCCGACATCGGCTGATATACGTCATTCCCTTTTCTCCCGGTTTCATTTCGACTGTTGTCAATTGCGCCATTAACCTGCTCTGGTTTACACTGTCTGTTGCTTGGTACAGGCTCTTCAGGTGGCTGTACGCGAGCTCAGCGGAGTTGCCGTAACCCCGGTAAGAGCGTATGTTTTGCTGCTGAGTTGGTGTGACGTTCCTCAGCAAAATAGTATACGCCATCATCGATTGATACGTATACTGCTGCTTCTCATACTGTGTGCCGTTTGCTGGATATTGCAGGGACCCGTCGAAGAAGCCGAGTATCTGCGCGCCTTCCATCATTAACTCGAACTCGAATGACCAGGTGAAGAAGTCCTTTCCGTCGAAGGGCCTTGATGTCTGCAGCTTTAGAACGTGCGCGAACTGTGATTGCACTTGTAACGCGTCCAGTGGTTTATCTTGTCCAGGTGAAGGCTGCGGCATGAAGCTGATCGACCCGCGCTCGTACGGGGCGAAGGTAGGTTGCTGCTGTTGGTTTCCGCGCGCATATGACGACCCGTCAAGACTCATGGGTGTTGCCCTGTTGTTGTTGTTGCTGTTGTATGACTGTGCAGGTCCCGACTGCTGGTGCTGTTCGTAGAAGGACATGAAGGAGAAGAACTTCTCCATCATGTTTTGGTCGAAGCTGGCGGGGTAGTTTACGGGAGTTTCAGTAGACGTTCCTCTAGGTCTTGTTGCGGTGCCCTCCTCTGTTTGCAAGCCAGAGGCAGGAGGTGGAGTAGGAGTAGTGCCCGGGGAGCCGTTGGAGGAGCTCCTTTCCTTGTTTGTTGCCATGTCTTGTAATGACTTGATAGTAGTGGAGTTTCCCCTGTTAGCTCTCATACCATGTTGGGCTGAGAAAAGCCCTTAGGATCTTTGCGGGGGTAAAACTCCGGTAGGACTATGTAATAGCGGAAGCGTATTAGTGGAGATTTTTGTGAACCACCTTGCGCTGGTATGTGAGGGCAAAGTAGATTGATTATAGCAAGGAAGTACAAGATTATATAATAATACAAGGAATATGAAAGGATGCAGTTTGTAACTACTTTACTGTTGCTGTTGCGGTTCGATACAGTACGACTCGGGCAACTGCTCTGTAACGAGTCAGTTGTGTGTCCTTAACTGTCGCGCTGTATTTGTCAGGTCAAAGGTCGCTTGACCTTTGACTTTCGCGTAACCTCCGGCAACTTCTCAACCTCCGAAGGTTGACTCGCGTTTGTTTCGATACAGCTTGCTTCGCTTCTGGTGCGATGTTTCGACACGACTGAAGCGCTTAAGGTTCATTGTTTCCAACACTAAGAACCTGCTCTGATACCATGTCGAGATAGCTAGGCAAGGTGGTTCGATTGACGAGAGAGTTTGGTACATGACACACAACCCTAAAGTGTTATCCCCTATAACATCTACCCCACTACAGCCTACCAATATATATCACACATATATATCATTTGACATAAGACAGTGTGGAATAATAGACTGGGGTTGTCTACTATACGGGTGTCTCTTATAAACAGGCTAGCCTCATTATAAGACACCTATTTGTGTGTACGAGATAAGACATATATGTCTTATAATCGAAACTTCAATATATTATAGCGAAAGTTGAAATAACGCGTACATTTTTACCCTTGCGAAGCGCGAATTTCTCCACGCGCTGACCCAGGACCTACCAAATTTGCCTCTGCAGGTGTTCTCCATGACGTGGCGTCCCGGGCAGTGGTTGCCGAAGTGGCACCTTCGCAACATCCACACTCATTATGAGGAACTCTTTTTCAAGAAGTACGGAAAATATTTCTAAGTAGTTTAAAAAGTTTCCATTTATAAGATTTATAAGACACCCTAAAGCATCCCGTTTACAAGATAACTCAAGCATTTTTGCCCGTGTACGAGATAAGACATATATGTCTTATATCCGGGCGATGACGGTACCAAGCAAGAGCATAGTCAGTGCAAGAGAAACCGATGCTAGCACCAAGAACATGCATGTTGCATCAGCAGACGCATCAGCAAATGCAGCGGCACATATCATCAAGCTAACCTCTGAACTAGGGATTTGAGTGAGTGGGTGTAACCCTCACGAGTCATGACAACATTCTAGTACGCCTCAATGTCACACACAATGTACAGTGCAGAGCACAGCAACGCCATGCCATGTCAGCAGTCCAAACCCCAGCAACAACCACAGCCCCAGCCACAGCCCCAGCCCCAGCAGAGGCAAGCAAGGAGCAGATCAGCAGCCATTTGAGCTTGAAAAGCAATGGCTAAGCGGGCCGCCTGCCACGTTGCATCGCCATGCGCTGCTTCTAATTGAAGGGGAGCTATAGGAGACACCACGAACGACTTGCGAGCCGACTCAGCATTCAGCGACTAGGCACCACGAAGAAGCGACCACCAACACCCTTCTCGCTGCGACTTTTGAGTCGCAAGCGACTGAGCACCACAGCAGAAACGACCACCAATCTCGCTGCTACAATCGCCGCCAAAACACGTCCCTACCCTCCACCTATTTCTCGTTTTGTAACCGCAGAATCCTGCATATCCCGGGGAAGCCAGTTCGCTGAGAACGACTGGCCGGCGCGTGACTCAGCGGCGTCCAAGAGCAGCGAAGCAGGAATATCCGAGGGGGAAAAAGGAGGAGGAGGAGGAGAAGAAGAAGAGAAGCAGAAATGGAGGGCGCCTCTCGATAGAGACTCGTGAAGTCTGAAATGGAAGATTGCTGAACTAAACAGGAAGTAAGTGCACGCCGTAGGCGTCACGCGCGCGGTTGCGGTGTCCATGATTTCAGCGACTCGCGAGGGCCGCCGAACCTAATCGCATCGGACCGCATTATTCCGACCTCCGTGGCGCCTTTGGGCGACCCGCATCGCGTGCCGAGAATGCTCTCCCTCCGCTCCGGCCACGTCTGCTCGAGATCCTCCAGATCTAAATAATCAAAATCCTCCGCGAGGTCATCGCCTTCCGCATCGCCGTGGCGCGCCCCGAAAGCTGCTGCGGCTTGTTGACCATGACCCTCAGATGACCGTTGCGTTTCAGAGCCGTCTGCTTCGTCCCGCAAGGCTTCATTTGTTTGGCTGCTCGCGGCTTCGTGAGGCTCAGCACCAGACGCGGAGGAGGAGTCTTCTGGAACGTGAAGCGTCTCAATCTCGGTTTCCCCGGTCCCGTAAATCACGGTGACGCTCTCGTCGAATCGCAGCCTTGATTTGCCATCCTTGGCGGTTTTGCTTGGACTTGCTTCTGGCCGTGTGGCGCAATCTTCGGACGCCATTGCGTTATCTTAGCATAAACAGTGCAACGAATGCACCAAACGCCCATACGAAACCTGAATGGGGAGAAAGAACCAAGGTAACTGTATACGTAAGTTAGGACGGGTCGCGCTGCGTCAGTTTCGGAGACCCCTAGAACCTAAATATGAACGTCACGCTGCATCAGCACAGTATCAGCCTAGGGGTTGCCGAGCGGATCACAGGTTCGCGGCAAGAGAGGTGGTTGGCTGCTGCTGCGTGGCTTCTTCGTTGGCCCTTGTCGCTGGTTGGACGGCTTGGTTTGGTTTGGTGGGGTGAATGTGAAGGAAAGGGTGAATCCTCTTTCGTGCTACTCTTTTTGAGCGGCTGTTTAGGTTATCCTTGCTCGCCGAACCTCCTACCCAGTCGTTGTGTTCAATCAAGATTGCAGAAATGTGGGTGGAAGAAAGATATGGGATACTGCCCTTGGAAGAACATACCAGTAAGCTGCTCAGCAACGTGCCGAGTCAACCATACTAGGCTTGGAAGAAGATTCTACAAGAGCTGTTACAAAGAAGCAGCACAAATGTGTGTAGTATTTGGTTATAAAAATGTCATACAACGTCAGTAGTCCAATGGTTAGGATATTTGCCTTCCAAGCAAAAGATCCGGGTTCGATTCCCGGCTGACGTAGTTTTTCCCCCCAGTAATTGGTCCTTGGAAGAGCGTCAAGCTGGTGTTTGGGCCAAAATACATTGAAGGCCGAACATGATCTGTTGGGGTGAGAATAAACCCTACGATTTAGATTAGCAAGCTCTCACAATGCAAGGTGCAAGACAAATTGATATACACTTGCAACCAGTAAAGACATTTCACTGGTGTACACAACACAGCTTGAGATTCTTGAAGCGCCTCAATAATCTGCATGGTCAGTGTGCGGATTTCCTAGTGTACATACAACACAGCTCCATCCAGACTCCTGAGGCGCCTAAAGAATCAGCAAAAGCGGTGAGACGTTTCCCTTGTGTAGTATGCGGTACACCACATGGCTCCACATTTTATTCTCTTGACAACCAAAGTTTCATGTGCTATACGGCTGCACGACCAGCACTGACCGCACGGAGTGCCCCTTGTCATCCACCCACGTGAGGCTGCCGAATTTAAAGTTTTGTGACGCCCTTGTCACCACCACAGTGACAGTAAAAGTTTTTCGTTGCCCAGGTGCGATTGTAAATCTTGACGGCGACACTGTCACCCTCACTCCCGCAGGATTCATTATCCTCGCTGTATACGCTGACGTGGTATCCGCGACATTCGTAACAGTCCGTGTAACTGAAGCTTTCTTGCGCACCTGAGGCAGCGAGATAGATGGCCGATTCAGATTCCTCGCTGCTACGGCTTTAAGAGAAGCTGTGCCGAACTCGCCCTTCGCCCAGTTGTAGTTCTGCCCGGCGAGAAAGTTTCTAAAGTCCTGCTCCCCGGCATCATAGGTTAACCCAGGGTCAACCACCCTAGCAGGCACCACATGCCCTGCTCCCATCTCCCACGGCGACGCAGCACTCCCGTACTCGTTTTGAATCGCCCCGTTATTGGTATTAGTGGTGCGTGCTGTAGTCATCATTGCAGACATTATTTGCGAGGGCGTCCAATCAGGGCGCCGCTGGATGATCAGAGCAGCAATGCCGGCGATGTGTGGAGTAGCCATGGAAGTCCCTGAAAGCGCGACAAACCACCCCCCAGAGCCAACCGTGTGGTCTGGAGCAGCAGAGAAGATTTCAACCCCTGGAGCGATGATGTCGGGCTTGAGGATGATGTTGGAGGGGTAGGCTGAAGGCGTGACTGCTGCTGAGGGCTTGGCGAGTGGACCAGTGGCGGAAAAGTAGGCTATTACAGGGGCGGCGGCGGTGGTGGCTGCGGGGGAGATGCTGGCTGGGATGCGCACTCCAGTGAGGGTTGATACAGTGGTGGCTGTGGTGTTGGAAGGGGTTTCAAGGGGTGAAATTGCTGCTGTTGCTGCTGCTGTTGTTTTTCCTGCTGCTGCTGTTGTGGGGGAGATGGATGCACCGTCGCGAGAGATGGTGCTGCAGCGTGGGGCAGGGGGGGAAGGGGAGGGGCACAAGGTCAGATGCATGGGGGAATGGGAACGGGAGGAACAGGAGAGGAATAAATGAAGCTGTAGAGCGTGCGATAGCCCTGCAAAGCTTTGCAGAGGGTGCAAAGACGATTCTAGTATCAAACTCTCCTGCTTCTCACCCACGTCTCACCCTGCCCTCACCTCTGCCCTCCCCCCCACCCCACCACTCGCTTTCTCCTTCCCCGCCCAAAAGAACATGTCACATCCTCACCTAGCGCCCACAGTCATGTAGTAGGGCGAGAAGTTGCAGAGCGTGCGATAGCCCGTGGCTGCTGCAGAGTTTGGCCGGCCATCGTTGCCGGCTGCAAAGGCCACAAACACCCCCGCCTGATGGGGGGAGGGACAGGAGAGGGAGGGAGAAAGGAGTTAGGGCAAGAGGAGGCGAATGAGGAGAGAAGACGTGAGTGAAGGAATTGAGGTGATTGAATCTGTACGGACTGTTAAAGGAGAGGAAGGAAGATAGAGCTAGGAAGATACAGGTAGGCACACTCACGGCGTGCACGCTGATGAAGGGCACGTCGTCAAAGTAGGTGTCGGTGGGACTGGCTCCGCCCAGCGACAGGCTCAGCACATCCACACCGTCGGCCACGGCCTGATCAACGGCTGAGAAGATGTCTGGGCTCGTGGCGTACACGTAACCATTCGCCTGCCAGAACACCTTGTACATTGCCAGGCGCGCCCCTGGTGCCATGCCATTGGCTGTTCCCATGTTGGAAATCGGCACACTGTTGCCTGCTGCCGCCCTGCAAGGGGAGAGAGAGAAGAAAATAAGGGGAGAGATAGAAGAAAAAGGGGGAGAGAGAGAAGAAAATGGGGAGAGAGAGAGAACAAAAAGGGGGGAGAGAGAGAAGAGAATGAGGGGATTGTTTTCCACGCCACACATCTTGCCACCTGCAATGTTCACCATGCCCCATGCGCCATGCACCATGCACCATGCACCATGCGCCATGCACCATGCACCATGCACCATGCACCATGCGCCATGCACCATGCGCCATGCACCATGCACCATGCACCATGCACCACGCACCATGCACCATGCACCATGCGCCATGCACCATGCACCATGCACCATGCACCATGCGCCATGCACCATGCACCATGCACCATGCGCCATGCACCATGCACCATGCACCATGCACCATGCACCATGCGCCATGCACCATGCGCCATGCACCATGCACCATGCACCATGCGCCATGCGCTGCACCATACCCCTTGCCCCATTCCCTGCACCAACCCCCATGCACCATGAACTCACTCACCCCGCACACCATGTCCCTCCCACACACTCACCCCGCACACCACGTCCCTCCCACACACTCACCCCGCACACCACGTCCCTCCCACACACTCACCCCGCACACCACGTCCCTCCCACACACTCACCCCGCACACCACGTGCCGTGCCCAGAAGAATCACGCGCCGAGTGCCAGTCACTTGTGAGGTCGATGGTGGTGTTGCCGCTCTCAAACGCCTTATGAAACACGCCCCCTCCAATGATTTTCTTGTTACAAGCGAAGTCGCTTGTAGTGGGACACGTGCCTGACCACCCGGCAGGGAGCGTGCTGCTGTAGCCCTGGTGGGGGGGAGGATTGGTGGAGGGGGGTGGAGCGGCGGAGGGGAGGATGGGTAGCGGTGGGTCAGTGGGGTGCTGGGCATGTGCTCAATCACCCCCAAGGGGGCTTGCTGCTGTCGCCCTAAAGGTGCGACAGGTGGAGGGAACGAGAAGAGAGAAGCGCGGGTGACGACGGCAAAGCGAGGCGCATACCATATCATCAAAGGAACCGTGCTCAGGCCATATGCCGGTGTCAAGGCGAGGCATTGCGACATAGTAACCTACCGTGTCATCAAAGGAACCATGTTCGGGCCATATGCCAGTGTCCACAATGCCAATCACCGTGCCGTCCCCGGCGCTGCTGGGCCCGCCAGCAGCAGCCCAGAGCGAGGAGGGCAGGCCGAGGAACTTGTACGAGTCGGTGGTGGCGGGGCGCAGCACGCGCGCCTGCGTCACGGACGCCACAGAGGGGTGCCGCCTCATGCGCCGCACCTGCGCTGCCGTGAGCGTCGCTGAGAAGCCGTTCGACGCGTGCTTATAGCTGAAGAAGGGAACGCGGGAGGGCGTAAGGGAGAAGACGAGGGACCGGAAAAGACGAAGGGGGTGAGGGTCGCAGGGAAGCCGATCGCAGGGAATTGCGGGATAAGAGACGACTTTTGAGGCGCTTCAATAAAGGAAGCAGGTGGCCGCGTGCTTGTAACTGGGCGCGGCGGATGGGGGGACGATGGTGCTTGTCGTAAGGAATCAGAGGCAGGAGAAGGCGACTCGCCTAAGGGTTGCCTAAGTATCTCGCACGACGCACGCGCGGGAGACCCAGGGGACTGCCGCGGTGCGGTTCTTCCCCCGATCTACTAGATCCACCGGACACATGGTATGCTGCACATCCGCGCCTTAGGACGCCTCGATGATAGTATGAGTGGACAGCCAGCTCGAATGTGCACAACCTTCCCGGGTGTCCACTCGCTGTCTCGCTTCACCGCCCAAACGACTGCTGCATCCGCTGTGGCAGCAGCAGCGAGAGCAAGCGCAGCGGTTACCACTCAAATTTCCTGTGCACAACGATCGTAGGTAAGAACGCCCTTCTCGTTCCCCTCCTCTCCCCTCACCTATAGAGCATCTTCCCCGCGTCCACCCCGCTGTCTCTCAGCACGGCCTGCTGCATGCGCTGCAGCAGCTGCTTGAACGCCCTCACGCCCGGCGCCCTCACGTTCACCCGCGCCCGCCGCGGTCGACGGCCAAGCCATCCTAAACCGCTGGTGGTAGCCGCACCAGCGGCGGCGGAGGAGGAGGAGGAGGAAACAGAAGCGGTGCCAACAGCAACCGAACCGTTGGCGGCGGCGTCTGACGCGGCCGCGTCTGTCGCGCTGCCGTTAGGATCGCTGTCCCAAACGGCCGTTGCCGGGAACCCGGGAAATCCGCCGCGGTACGAGGCGACGGGCGGCGCGGAACGTAGGCGGACGATGTAGAGCGACGAGACGTCGGGGGGGAAGCTGCGGGGGATGGGGAGATGGACGGAGAGAATCCTTTGAGCGGCGCGGTCTTTCAACGCGCCAGTTCGCCGACTCACGGCGTGCGCTTAGCTTGCAATCTGAGCTCCCAATGGACCTGAATGCGCCTGAATGTCCACCTGAAACGGTACTCGGTGAAAATTTACTCGACAACAGCAGAAGTGCGCTTTACAGTCATGGTTCAACAGTCATAACAGCTTCTAAGTTACTAGGAGCGTCGGTAGTAACGCGTGCGGCTGTGCTAGTACCGTGGGTCGGGCGGAGCAGCGGCGATGCGGATAACGTGACGAGGAGCACGAGAAGTAAAAACCGAGCTCGTTTTCTCCCGCGGGTCTGTACTACAAGGTCGCAGTGTGAGTGGCAGTGTGAGCGGTGCGATAGAAGGCGTTGTTTTTGGGAATGGACGAGTGGGAATGGATGGCCAGGAAGGGGACTAAGCGAGCCAGAGAGACTTTGCCGTGAGGCCATTTTCAAGCTATTGATTGGTCGTGCTTGGTGTTTAGGCGCTATGGCCGTAGGATGCAGGGGACGGTGTAATCTAGGAAGTGAACGCAGGTCTGGTGTAGTGTGCGTGTCGGCTACTAGACTGCGGATTAAATACTCGTCGCAAACCGCGAATTCTTTTGGCAAGCCAATCCTCGTCACGGTGCTGTGCTGAGATGGATCGGGGAACTGGGAAAATGCTGACTGCAGTCACTTCACAGTGTGGCAAGAAAACCAAGAAACAGGAACACGGCTCCCTTGCTCTCCTGCTTTCTTTCCCTCTGAACGCGTTTCTGATGCTGCTGTTCTTTGTGGGTGAGAAGGGAATGAAAGGGAAGGGCGACATAACGAAAACCTGGTTACCTGGTCTTCAATCGCAGCTCGCGTTCCCCGCGACACAATGTTGTGCTGCGGCGGCTTCGCCTGACCGGGTCGCGGGGTATCAGCGGAATGAAAAAGGGTGAAGTGGGGAAATGTGGGTTCAAAATATCGTTGTGCGGTGGTGACCGAGGAAGAGCAAATTGGGTTGGGGGGTAATGGATGGAGGAAGATGTGGTCAATTCACGCGGAGGGTGGAGGTTGCGTGGTGGTGGTGTGTCAGCGGCACGGAATCACGTCGCATCCGGTTTGGTTCGGAGAAGGGAAGGTTGCGAAAAAAGCAAGCTGGCTTCTGGGTGATTGATCAGGTAGGGAGAACTGGGGGAACGTTGCTTTTGCGACGCGACTAGGCGCAGAACCAGAGGACAAACAGCCTTGATCTGGCGCGCTAGAGCCCACCACAGGTGACAGCAGAAAAGGACACATTCCCACTCAAATGCTTGACAGCTGGCCTTCGGTGACTCTTAGGACGCATCTTGTGTGAAGCAAGGATGAAAGCTAATTCGTCTAAAAGGAATAGTCACGCGGTCACAAGTTTCAAGGTACAGCATGTAGACGAATCCGGACGGTCAGCTACTCGATCGAGCTAAAGTATTTTCCTGATCACTCGAGGTTCTGTTGAGAAAGACGGCTTTGCTTTGGACAAGCTTGCAGTGAACAAACAGTCAAAACACCCCCTGGTATTGGACAGATGCCACCAAGAAAGGACATAGGGCAGGTTGGAAATCTGATATATACAGTGTACACTGTAAGCATCGCAAACCTGGACTTTCGTCTGTCTGTGGGACGTGTCTGCTGGACGTGCACAGTGCTCGTTCTTGGCTGAAAATCCAAGTTGGTGCGCGTCAGACCCTGTCGTGCAGCCGTCACTTGGAGCATGAAATGTACACCTGATGCCTGTTTGAGCCCCTCCCGGTTGCCTTACGAAGGGGGCGTATAAGCTGTCACGAGCATTTCGCATAAGTTTCGTCAATTCGCAGCTAGCTAAAAAGGATTCGCATGTGCTTATAAACAAGATCTGTAACCTAGTTTGACTTCAGTCTCTTCTGCTTGACTTCGGTCTGTACCTAGTTTGACTTTGGTCTGTTCGTTACTATTGGTTGATAACCACGCGACGCGCTTGTAATGTAGGTGCATAAGGCTGGGGAAACGACCTCGGGTGCAGCGTATCCATCCGGCGCAAGGCAAATTCGCGTGCATGGGGTGAGCATCAGCTGTAGTGATTCTTTGTAGCATAGCACAGTGTAGTGATAGGTTACAAAGCGCTGGTGGTACACCTGTGCCTACCTCTTGCTCCTATTTCTTGTACCCTTCTCTTCTAATCAACCTTCCCTCCTTCTTCCCCCCCCATCCCCCCTTCCCCCATCCTCCCCTCCTTTTCTACCCTTAGCTAGCTATCTCAACATAAGCCTCTGTGTAGTAGACTCATAGAAATAGAGCACTCGTGTGAGGACAAACAGCAAAATTTTGGAGCGCCTCAATAATCAGAACAGCCACCATGACAATTTCCTAGTGCAGACACGACACATGGCTCCCTTCTGATTGTTGAGGCGCCTAGAAAACTGGAGGAATTAGCAGTGTGGAGAGGCGTTTCTCTTGTGCAATACGCACGACATCACATGGCTCCACGTTCTGTACTGTCAGCAGCGAAACCAGCATGCGCTACTCGGCTGCACAGCCAGCACGGACCGCACAGAGCGTGGCGATTCTCTGGTGAACTACGCAATACACCACATGGCTCCACAATCTGTACTGTTAGCAACCAAACCAGCATGCGCTACTCGGCTGCACGGCCAGCACTGACCGCACGGAGTGCCCCTTGCCATCCACCCACGTGAGGCTGCCAAACTTGAAAGACTGCGAAGCCCACTTCACCGTCACAGTCACAGTGTACGTCTTCCGTTGCCCGGGTGCGATCGTAAACCTTGACGGTGACACCTTCACATTCACTCCCGCAGGTTTCTTGATCCTCACTCTATACGTCGACGTGGTATCCGCAACATTTGTAACAGTCCGGGTTACTGAAGCTTTGTTGTGCACCTTGGCCAGCGAGATAGCTGGCCGGTTCAGATTCTTCGCGGAAACAGCTCTGAGGGAGGCCGTGCCGAACTCACCCTTCGCCCGGTTATAGTTCTGTCCGGCGAGAAAGTTTCTGAAGTCCTGCTCCCCGGCATCATAGGTTAACCCAGGGTCAACCACCCTAGCAGGCACCACATGCCCCGCTCCCATCTCCCACGGCGACGCCGCGGCCCCATACTCGTTTTTAATCGCCCCATTACCGGTATTAGTAGTCCGCGCTGTAGTCATCATAGCAGACATGATCTGCGAGGGCGTCCAATCAGGATGCTGCTGGATTATAAGCGCAGCAATGCCGGCAATATGTGGAGTAGCCATGGAAGTCCCTGACAGCGCTTGGAACCCTCCCTTAGAGCCGACAGTCCTGCCGGGAAAAGCAGCGTAGAGCTCAACCCCCGGGGCAATGAGGTCGGGCTTGAGGATGGTGTTGGAGGGGTAGGCGGCAGGGGTGGCTGCTGATGGCTTGGCAAGTGGACCGGTGGAGGAGAAGTAGGCGACCACCGGGGCGGCGGTGGCTGCTGGGGAGATGCTGGCTGGGATGCGCGCTCCACTGAGGGTTGACACTGTCGTGGATGTTGCGAGGGCTGTGGGGGTTGTGGTGTTTGGGGGAGCTTCGAGGGACGTTGCTGTTGCTGTTGCTGTTGTGGAGGAGATGGATGCACCGTTGCGGGAGATGGAGCTGCAGGGTGGGGCAGGGAGAGGGGATGGGGCACAGGGGGGATGTCAATGGGGAATGAAATGAGAGGAATGAAAAGAGCAGCAGTGGAATGAGAAAGCAGGAGCTGAAGGAGTACGGTCAGGAGAGGAATGAAATGAGAGGAACAAAAAGAGCAGCAGCGGGTGGATGTGAGAGGAGGGATGAACAAGGATGCAGGAGCGGAGTGAAGAAAACCTTGTTCATCCGGCACTTGTTCATTCAGTTATTTGGCCCCTGGGGCATGGTGTCATGTGCTGGGGTGCAATGCCAGCCTTTTCAATCATCAATATGCCCATCCCTCGCCCCTATCCCTAATCCCTCACATCCCCCCATACTCACCTGGCGCCCACAGCAACGCTGTAGGGCGAGAAGTTGCAGAGTGCCAGTGGCTGCCAAGGACTTTTGCACATCACTTCCTCCTCCCCTCCCCTCACCTCTTCTCAACCCATCCCCCACCTCCTCTCCCGCTCCTCACCTGGCGAGGACTTTGGAGACTCAAAGCTCAACCTCACTGCCACTCCTCTCTTCCTCCTCGCCATCTTGACTCAATCCATCCCCCACCAACCATCCCTCCTCACCTGGCCCCAACGGTCATGTAGTAGGGCGAGAAGTTGCAGAGCGTGCGATAGCCCGTGGCTGCGAAGGCTGATGGGCGACCGTCGTTGCCGGCTGCAAAGGCCACAAACACCCCCGCCTGATGGGGGGAGGGAACGGAAATAGAGGGAGGGAGAAGGGCAGGAGGGAGAGGTGGGAATGTGAGAGAGGGAAGCGAGGTGAGAGAGGGGAGCGAGGAGATTGAAACTGTACAGAGTGGAATAAGGAGAGATACAGGTACGAAGATAGAGTATGTAGCCCCTCACCTCATGGACGGGGACGAAGGGCACGTCGTCAAACTGTGTTTTGAGTCAACTTAAAACACACCACTCACCGTCTTGCCACTCACCGCGTTGCCACTCACCGTGTTGCCACTCACCGCGTTGCCACTCACCGCGTTGCCACTCACCGCGTTGCCACTCACCGCGTTGCCACTCACCGCGTTGCCACTCACCGCATTGCCATTCACCTCACCGCGTGGACGCTGATGAAGGGCACGCGGTCAAAGTAGGTAGATGTAGGTACATAGATACAATACAAAGGACGGTTTGAGGCAGGAGGGGCACTCACGGCGTGGACGCTGATGAAGGGCACGTCGTCAAAGTAGGTGTCGGTGGGACTGGCTCCGCCCAGCGACAGGCTCAGCACATCCACACCGTCGGCCACGGCCTGATCAACGGCTGAGAAGATGTCTGGGCTCGTGGCGTACATATTCCCGTTTGACTTCCAGAAGATCTTGTACATGGCCAGGCGCGCCCTTGGCGCCATGCCACTGGCTGTTCCCATGTTGGGGATTGGCACGTTGTTGTTGCCTGCGGCTGCCCTGAGGGAAGGGAGAGATGGAGGAAGGGGGGAGGAGAGAGAGAGAAGAAGGGGAAAGTGAGGTTAGTAAGGAGAAAACACATGTGAAAGGACGACGAGGGAAGTGTCTTGATGCCGTACATACATGCTGCCCCCTGCCTGCCAGAAGATCTTGTACATGGCCAGACGTGCCCTTGGTGCCATGCCACTGGCCTAGCCGACGTTGGAGATTGGCACGTTGTTGTTGCCTGCTGCTGCCCTGGAAGGGGGGAGAGGGAGGGTGGGTGGGGGCGAGGGGGGGAGGGGGAGATAGCAACGGTTATGGAATATGCACGTGCGGTAGGACATACATCATGCCGCCTGCAAATGATCACCATGCCGCATGCACCATGCACCATGCACCATGCACCATGCACCATGCACCATGCACCATGCACCATGCCCCATACCCTACGCCCCATACCCCACGCCCCATACCCCACGCCCCATACCCCACGCCCCATACACCATACACCGCACACACTCACCCCGCACACCACGTGCCGTGCCCGGCAGAATCACGAGGCGACATCCAGTCACCCGAGAGGTCGATGGTGGTGCCGACACTCTCAAACCCCGCGTGAAACACACCCCCTCCGATGATCTTGTTGTTACAAGCGAAGTCGCTTGTAGTGGGACACGTGCCTGACCATCCAGACGGGAGCGTGCTGCTGTAGCCCTGGTGGGGGGGAGGAGGGGTGGAGGGGAGGGGTGGAGGGGTGGAGTGGAGGGGTGGAGTGGAGGGGAGGATGGGTAGTGGTGGGTCAGTGGGGTGAGATGATGCTGCCGCCCTGCTTCCTAGAACGTGGGGAGACGATGGGGTGTGGACAAAGGGGATCGGGGGGAGGGGAGGAGGGGGAAGGGGAGGAAGGGGGATGAGGTGAGGGGAAGGGAGGGCGTAGCTGAGTTTAGGAAGGGGAAGAGTGGCTGATGGCGTGGTGATGGTGGTGAGGAAGGGAGAAGGGACGGGAATGCGAAAACTACTGTCTAAAGGTGCGACAGGTGGAGGGTAAGCGCGGATGCCATGGCATGGTGATGGATGATGACCGTGTCGTACCGTGTTGCAAAACGAGCCAACATACCGTGTCATCAAAGGAAGCGTGCTCAGGCCATATACCAGTGTCCACCACTATGTTAATCGCGATCGCCTCATCATGTACTAGCGGGGTGAAAGCGAGGCATACTGGCGCAACTCACCGTGTCGTCGAACGAGGCATGTTCGGGCCATATGCCAGTGTCCACGATGCCGATCACAGTCCCATCCCCCGCGCTGCTGGGCCCGCCAGCAGCAGCCCACAATGAGGAGGGCAGGCCGAGGAACTTGTACGAGTCGGTGGTGGCGGGGCGCAGCACGCGCGCCTGCGTCACGGACGCCACTGATGGGTGCCGCCTCATCCGCTGCACCTGCGCTGCCGTGAGCGTCGCTGAGAAGCCGTTTGACGCGTGCTTGTAGCTGAAGAAGGGAGGGCGGGAGGGCGTAAGGGGGAAGACGAGGGACCGGAAAAGACGAAGGGGGTGAGGGTCGCAGGGAAGCAGAAAGCCGCGTGCCTGTGACTGGAATTGCGGGAATTGCGGGATAAGAGACGACTTTTGAGGCGCTTCAAAAACAGAAGCCGGTGGCCGCGTGCATGTAACTGGGCGCGGCGGATGGGGGGACGATGGTGCTTGTCGTAAGAAATCAGCGGCAGGAGAAGGCGAGCGGAGAGGCCGATGGGTGGCCTGAGTACGCACGACGCACGCGCGGGAGACACAGGGGACTGCCGTGGTGCGGTTCTTCCCCCGATCTACTAGATCCACCGGTCACACGGCATGCTGCATATCCGCGCCTTAGAACGCCTCGATAATAGTATGAGTGGACAGCGGGCTCGAGTCTGCACAACCTTCCCGGGTGTCCACCCGCTGTCTCGCTTTCACCGCCTGCTTTTGAGGCGCCCGATCGCCTGCTGTATCCGCTGTGGCAGTAGCAGCAGCAGCGAGAGCAAGGGCAGCGGCTACCACTCAAATTCCCCGTGCAAAACGCTCGTTGGTAAGAACGCTCCCCTCCTTTCCCCTCACCTGTACACCATCTGCCCCTCACCTGTACACCATCTGCCCCTCACCTGTACACCATCTGCCCCTCACCTGTACACCATCTGCCCCTCACCTGTACACCATCTGCCCCTCACCTGTACACCATCTGCCCCTCACCTGTACACCATCTGCCCCTCACCTGTACACCATCTGCCCCTCACCTGTACACCATCTGCCCCTCACCTGTACACCATCTGCCCCTCACCTGTACACCATCTGCCCCTCACCTGTACACCATCTGCCCCTCACCTGTACACCATCTGCCCCTCACCTGTACACCATCTGCCCCTCACCTGTACACCATCTGCCCCTCACCTGTACACCATCTGCCCCTCACCTGTACACCATCTGCCCCTCACCTGTACACCATCTGCCCCTCACCTGTACACCATCTGCCCCTCACCTGTACACCATCTGCCCCTCACCTGTACACCATCTGCCCCTCACCTGTACACCATCTGCCCCTCACCTGTACACCATCTGCCCCTCACCTGTACACCATCTGCCCCTCACCTGTACACCATCTGCCCCTCACCTGTACACCATCTGCCCCTCACCTGTACACCATCTGCCCCTCACCTGTACACCATCTGCCCCTCACCTGTACACCATCTGCCCCTCACCTGTACACCATCTGCCCCTCACCTGTACACCATCTGCCCCTCACCTGTACACCATCTGCCCCTCACCTGTACACCATCTGCCCCTCACCTGTACACCATCTGCCCCTCACCTGTACACCATCTGCCCCTCACCTGTACACCATCTGCCCCTCACCTGTACACCATCTGCCCCTCACCTGTACACCATCTGCCCCTCACCTGTACACCATCTGCCCCTCACCTGTACACCATCTGCCCCTCACCTGTACACCATCTGCCCCTCACCTGTACACCATCTTCCCCTCACCTGTACACCATCTGCCCCTCACCTGTACACCATCTGCCCCTCACCTGTACACCATCTTCCCCTCACCTGTACACCATCTGCCCCTCACCTGTACACCATCTGCCCCTCACCTGTACACCATCTGCCCCTCACCTGTACACCATCTGCCCCTCACCTGTACACCATCTGCCCCTCACCTGTACACCATCTGCCCCTCACCTGTACACCATCTGCCCCTCACCTGTACACCATCTGCCCCTCACCTGTACACCATCTGCCCCTCACCTGTACACCATCTGCCCCTCACCTGTACACCATCTGCCCCTCACCTGTACACCATCTTCCCCTCACCTGTACAACATCTGCCCCTCACCTGTACACCATCTGCCCCTCACCTGTACACCATCTGCCCCTCACCTGTACACCATCTGCCCCTCACCTGTACACCATCTGCCCCTCACCTGTACACCATCTGCCCCTCACCTGTACACCATCTGCCCCTCACCTGTACACCATCTGCCCCTCACCTGTACACCATCTGCCCCTCACCTGTACACCATCTGCCCCTCACCTGTACACCATCTTCCCCTCACCTGTACACCATCTGCCCCTCACCTGTACACCATCTGCCCCTCACCTGTACACCATCTTCCCCTCACCTGTACACCATCTTCCCCTCACCTGTACACCATCTGCCCCTCACCTGTACACCATCTGCCCCTCACCTGTACACCATCTGCCCCTCACCTGTACACCATCTGCCCCTCACCTGTACACCATCTGCCCCTCACCTGTACACCATCTGCCCCTCACCTGTACACCATCTGCCCCTCACCTGTACACCATCTGCCCCTCACCTGTACACCATCTGCCCCTCACCTGTACACCATCTTCCCCTCACCTGTACACCATCTGCCCCTCACCTGTACACCATCTGCCCCTCACCTGTACACCATCTGCCCCTCACCTGTACACCATCTGCCCCTCACCTGTACACCATCTGCCCCTCACCTGTACACCATCTGCCCCTCACCTGTACACCATCTGCCCCTCACCTGTACACCATCTGCCCCTCACCTGTACACCATCTGCCCCTCACCTGTACACCATCTGCCCCTCACCTGTACACCATCTGCCCCTCACCTGTACACCATCTGCCCCTCACCTGTACACCATCTGCCCCTCACCTGTACACCATCTGCCCCTCACCTGTACACCATCTGCCCCTCACCTGTACACCATCTGCCCCTCACCTGTACACCATCTTCCCCTCACCTGTACACCATCTGCCCCTCACCTGTACACCATCTGCCCCTCACCTGTACACCATCTTCCCCTCACCTGTACACCATCTTCCCCTCACCTGTACACCATCTGCCCCTCACCTGTACACCATCTGCCCCTCACCTGTACACCATCTGCCCCTCACCTGTACACCATCTGCCCCTCACCTGTACACCATCTGCCCCTCACCTGTACACCATCTGCCCCTCACCTGTACACCATCTGCCCCTCACCTGTACACCATCTGCCCCTCACCTGTACACCATCTGCCCCTCACCTGTACACCATCTTCCCCTCACCTGTACACCATCTGCCCCTCACCTGTACACCATCTGCCCCTCACCTGTACACCATCTGCCCCTCACCTGTACACCATCTGCCCCTCACCTGTACACCATCTGCCCCTCACCTGTACACCATCTGCCCCTCACCTGTACACCATCTGCCCCTCACCTGTACACCATCTGCCCCTCACCTGTACACCATCTGCCCCTCACCTGTACACCATCTGCCCCTCACCTGTACACCATCTGCCCCTCACCTGTACACCATCTGCCCCTCACCTGTACACCATCTGCCCCTCACCTGTACACCATCTGCCCCTCACCTGTACACCATCTGCCCCTCACCTGTACACCATCTGCCCCTCACCTGTACACCATCTGCCCCTCACCTGTACACCATCTGCCCCTCACCTGTACACCATCTGCCCCTCACCTGTACACCATCTGCCCCTCACCTGTACACCATCTTCCCCTCACCTGTACACCATCTGCCCCTCACCTGTACACCATCTGCCCCTCACCTGTACACCATCTGCCCCTCACCTGTACACCATCTGCCCCTCACCTGTACACCATCTTCCCCGCGTCCACCCCGCTGTCTCTCAGCACGGCCTGCTGCATGCGCTGCAGCAGCTGCTTGAACGCCCTCACGCCCGGCGCCCTCACGTTCAACCGCGGCCGCCGCGGTCGACGGCCAAGCCATCCTAAACCGGCGCTGGTCGTAGCCGCACTAGCGGCGGAGGAGGAAACAGAAGCGGTGCCAACGGCACTGGGTTCGGCGGTGGTGTCGTCTGCCGTCGCGTCTGTCGCGTTGCCGTTAGGGTCGCTGTCCCAGACGGCCGTTGCCGGGTAGCCGGGAAATCCGCCGCGGTACGACGCGACGGGCGGCGCGGAGCGGAGGCGGACGATGTAGAGCGCGGAGACATCGGGGGGGGAGGCTGCGGGCGATGGGGGAAAGGGGAAAGAGAATGCTTTGGAGCGGTGCGGCATTACAGCACGCCAGTTAGCCGACTCCCTTCGCATGATTCGCTTTCAATGAACCACCTGAAAGGTACTCGCTCTAAGTACCTATTCGATATCAGCAACTGGCGCATTACAGTCATAACTTGTCCAGCGGGTCAATAGAAGAGTCTGATTTACGAGCGCGGAACATGCGAGACGCTGTGCTCGTACAAGCGAGCGGCGGTGCGCGGCAGCTCGTACCGTGGGTCGGGCGGGGCAGCGGCGCTGCGGATAGCAAGGCGAGGAACACGAGGAGGGCAAAACAAGTTCGCGATTCCCGGCGGGTCTGCACGAGGCTGCAGTGCGAGCGGCAGTGTGCGCGGCAGTGTGCGCGGCAGTGTGCGCGGTGCGATAGAGGGGAATTTCTTTGGGAATGGTCGAGCGGGAATGGAGGGGCTGGAAGGATACTGTGCGAGCAAGAGTGCCTTCTCTGATAGGCCATTTTCAAGCTCTAGCTTTAGGTCGCGTTTTGGTCTGTAGGTGGTATGAGGTAGGGGACGGTGTAATCTCGGAATGCACGCGAGTTTGGTGTGTGTGTTGGCTACTGAGCCCCCTGCGAGTTAGATACTCTTCGCAAACCGCGAACCCTCTTGGCAAGCCAAGCCTTGTGCTGTGCTGTGATGGATCTTGGTGAACCAAGAGAAATGCTGACTGAGGCCGCTTCGTGTGGCTTCAGGAAACAGAAACACGGCTTGAGTCTTCTCCATCCCTTCCTCGCCTGCTTCCTACTTTTCCTCTGAACGCGTTTTTGGTGGCGCTGGGTGGAATAAAGTCGGTGGGAAGGGAACGGAAGGGAATGGAAGGGAAGGGCGACTGAACGAAATCCCGGTTACCCGGTCGTCAATTGTTGCTCGCGTTTTTCGCGATTCAATGCTGGGGTGCGGCGGCTGCGCCTGACCGGGTCGAGGGGAGTTGGCGGTGTGGAGAAAGGGGAGGAAGGAAGGAAACGGGGGATATCAAATATCGTTGTGCGGTGGTGACCGAGGAAGAGCGGATTGCTTTGGGGGGTATGGATGGAGGGCGCTCTGGTCACTTCTCGCGTCGAGGGTTACACGGTGGTGGTATGGCTGCGGCACGGGATCCTGTTGGGTGTCGGTCTGGTTCGGAGAGAAGATGGGAAAAAAAAGTTACTGTGAAGCTGTCTTTTGGGTGATTGGTTGGGTGGGGAGAACTGGGGGAACGATACAGTACCACAGAAGAGCCCTGCGGGGAAGCTCGCTTTTCCGGCGCGACAGGGTGCGGAGCGGAGCGGATCCAGGGAGAAAACACCCTTGATCTGGTGCACTACAGTCCACCACAGGTGTCAAGAAAAAGACACATTTCCACCCCGAAGCTTTACGACGTGTTGCGACCCACCCGGGTCGGGTCGGGTCTGGTCGACCCGGTCGACCACGATCAACCCGACCCGACCCAACCCCAAGGCGACTCTAGAAATCAAAGAATTTCCCGTTGCCTTCTTTGCAAATTCGAAGTAAAGAGAAAGCAAGTGCTCCGCAGGTGGAAGGTGGGCGAGGCAAATTTTGGCGATATTACTGGGTACCCAAACCCGGGTTGGGTTGGGTCGGGTCGACCTGGTCGGGTAGGTCGGCAGTGCGGGCTTCCTAGAAATTCGGGATCGGGGGGTGGTCGACCCGACCCGACCCGACCCACGTCGTTACAGCCCATCCAGCAATGACCCCCGAGGACGCATATTGCATTTTCTCCAGGATCAGCATTTCTTGGTCTACAGTACATGTCACGCAGTAACGTGTCAAGTTAGGAAGACGAATCAGAACGGTCGTCCTACTCCATCCAACGGTTGATAATTTTCAACATCCCTTCTAGGGATGACGACTTCGCTTCGGACCTGCTTGTAGTAAACAATCAGTCGGAACACTCCCTAGGGTCGCGATTGACACCAACAAGCACGGACATGGCAGGTTACAAATCTGATACCGTACTCCACGCAATCGAAAAGCTGGACTTTCGCCTGTGTGTGGAAGCGGACCTCCCAGGGCTGGACGTGTCTGCTGAGGATGTTTGTTGAAGCCCCATCGAATTGTGCGTACTTGCAATTGTATGTGCGCATATCGGGGGTTCGATGAATGACGAGAAGGTCAGGTTCGGGCGCTCGCAAGGCAGGACGGTTGTTCTGCATTCGCGAATATCGAAGCGCACCTGTTGCCCACTTGCAATCTGTTGTTACGGGTCCAAGCAATGAATGCAGATTTTTCTTTCTCATTAATAACTTTATAGCATATACACATGATCCGAGACATAAAGAGGAAAAGGGAAAGAGGGAGAAGGAAAAAGAAATAAATGGGGGAGAATGGAGGTGCAGAATAAAAACTAAAAAGAAAGGCAACTACCCAAAAAAACCCAAACGCACCACCCATAAAAAGCCCCATCAAAATACCCCATCAAAACACCCAGCCAGGATCCCCCACCAGACGCCCCATCCTGCACCCCATCCCCCCCCCCCCCCTCAAGTCACATCTGCGCATCCACCATGTAGGGGCCCTCCACCCAATGAGCCCTGCCCTCCACCTCGACATCGTCCCTCTCCCGGTCCACCAAGTCCAGATTTTGGTGAAGTACACATGCATAGCTATTCTTTGCATCGCGTATACATGCAAGCGGGAATGTTGCAACGACATCCAGAAAGGCAATCGAATCAACGCAACTTCCTGTCCGTAATCCACGCCCGAATAAGTATTCTAGCTGAATTATGAAGCTGTCACACCCACCCTTTCCTCTCGTTCCGAAGCGACCATACTAATCCATTCATTTCTTAAACTCCCAGTCGCTCCACATCAGCGACACGTCACCAACTTCCGTGCCGCGCGAGATTCGCCGGCGTCGTAGCTCATAGAATTTCCGATGGGCGCGACAGCGTCGACGTACTATTGAGGTGCCGGCCGTGCCCTCCCGTTCACATTGGAAACTCAATAGTCGTCTTCTTGGCGCTCCGAGAGCTCCGAATGGAAGCGACGGCGGCGACGTACCCGCCCCCGCCGCCCTACTACAAGCTCTATGCCGCGTACGACCCTCACACGCGCATAGGCGGCCCGCCCCCGCCTGCCGCCATCGCCGGCGAATACGTGTCCTTCGGAGCGCCATACAACGTGAGTTACCGCTGCTCCCGACACAGTAATTTATCTGTGCTCTATGGAAGGTCAGTTGGTGTAAAACCCACGGGTATGAGGAATTGATGTGCTGCAGCCCCCTCCTCCCGCCATCACACGCAAAAACGTCTTTGAAGTCTCGTAGCACGCGAGTTACCACTGCTTCGAAGACGACTTGCTTTGTGGAAAGTGTGTAGGAGACAAATGCACAGGAAAGCCAAGGGCTACAGAAAATATGGCCCACACATAGCCACACAGGGGGGACGCTAGGACTTTTTGAGACTGATTGCGACTCGCTTGGTTTTCCTTCAAACCCTTATTACCACGTGCGTGGACCACATTCTGGACTTTGCTTCTAAACAATGGAAATGACTTCTCTTCAGCCCTGCAAAAATTTGAGTGAGTGCAGTTGAAACGGTTTGATTCCAAGAAGATTTGGAATGGAATATGTTTTTTTTGTTTCAAAGAACTCGCGTTCCCGTGCGCAGCGATCAAGAGTTTCCTACCACACAACTCAGATCCTTTTTTTTTTTTTTTTTTTCTGTGCTACCTCTTGACTTCCCCTTTTCACTCTTGCCTCCTGCTCTTTTCCCCTCTGCCCTCTTTCCCCCTGCTCTCTTTTCCCCTAGTTCCGTGGCGGGCAATGCAATGCAGACGGAGGATCGACTGCCGAGTCTGGAGGAATAGGGCGTGCGACAGCTGTTCCCCTCCAGCAAGCACATCAGTGAGCACCTCTGATGCATCACCCGCCCGCCTACATGTCATCATGCCACCTTCACCTTTGTGTCAACTCAAAAGTGTCCCCCTCCAGCAAACCCTCAGTGAGAACTCTCAACTATCACCCACCTCCCCGTATGCCGTCATGCCATCACGTCAGATGCCCAGCTCATTGTTCCAGCGTGCCATCGTGCTTGCAAGCCAAGGAACCATCATGCCATGTTGAAAGTTCTCCCCCGCCCCTGCCCTTTCTCCCCTGCCCTGTTCTGTCCTGTCCACTTCCAGGCACGCGTGCAGAGTTGAAAGCATTGCGCCGGGAATTGGGCCAGCTGGTGCTGGAGCTGGCGGACGTGCTGATGGCACGAGTGTCATGCCCAAGCCCATCCTCCCTCGCCTGCTTTGTCGTGTCCCTCGCTTGCTTTGTCGTGCCCAGGCCCCTCCTCCGCCCCTGCCTTGTCGTGCCCCCTGCAGCTGCAGACACACGTGCAGAGCTGAAGGCGTTGGGGCGCGAGCTGGGCGTGCTGGTGGAGCGACCGTCATGCTACAGTGCTCCATTTCCCTTCTCGCTCCACCCCCGCCTATCTCCCCCAAGACACGCTTGCAGAGTTGAAGGCACTGGGCCGGGAGTTGGGCCTGCTGGTGCTGGAGCCGGCAGACGTGCCGGTGGAACAGTGCCGTGCCGCTATATCCTCCTTTTCCTCCCCACCCACTCACCCACACACCCTTTACGTCCCACCAGCCAGACACACGTGCAGACTAAAGGCACTGGGACTGGAGCTGGGCTTACTGGTACTGGAGCTGGGCTTACTGGTACTGGAGCTGGTGGACGTGCTGGTGGAGCGACCATCATCCCTCTGTGCCCTCCTCATCCTCTCCACCCACTCATCCCCCTCCTCCCCCTTTGTCAGACACAAGTGCAGAGCTCAAGGCACTGGGCTGTGAGTTGGGTTTGCTGGTGCTGGAGCTGGCGAACGTGCTGGTGGAGCGGCCATCGCAGGCAGGGCGGTGTGTGGAGGATATCTCGCTTCTCTTCACCAACCTGCACTTCCTCCTCAACTCACTGCATCCTCATCAGGTGTTGTCGCTCTGTTCCCAAGTACTCATCGCATCTTATTGCACGGTATTGCATTGCATCCCGTTGCATCGCACGCGTGCATGCACGTGGTGATTCTTTATCTGCTGGCGATCTCCCTCTGGCGGTGCGTGCGTGCGTGCATGCGTGCGTGCGTGTGTGGGGGGCATCTCGCTGCTCTTCACCAAACTGCACTTCCTCCTCAACTCGCTGCGCCGCCACCCGGTGCCCTCACCTGTCAATTGCCGCTCTGCTTTGCTGTCTGCCCTTTGCTCTGCTCTGCTCTGCACCCACGTGCACTTTTGCTCGTCTCTCTGCACGCACACCCACATGACGTGCGCGGTGGTGGGGTGAATTGTGAGCATGGATGGCATGTGAGCATGGATGGCATGTGAGCATGGATGGCATGTGAGCATGGATGGCATGTGAGCATGGATGGCATGTGTGCATGGAGGCATGTGAGCATGGATGGCATGTGTGCATGGATGGCATGAGTCATCTAACCTTGTAACTAGCTTACTCAGACCCCATCAGCAACAGTCAAGGAGAAAGTTCTTACACGCACGCATCTAATGATGAAATCCATTTGAGCCGCCTTTGTGCAACCTGAAAAATGCTTCATGCAAGGATGGCTCCATGCATCTGTTTCTAAACAAAATCCTTGCATGAAGCCATTCCTTGTCTGCTCACCTTGTCTCCAGGCACGGGAAACGCTAACACACATTTTCAAGACACAGCTGGAGATGCGCAAGCAGTCGCTGCAAGGCATCAAAGAGTGAGCAACCTTCACAACTCTTGGCTATTTTGGACCAATCTGGAGTCTGGACCACCCTTGACCAGCCTTCACCACCTTGACCACCCTTGACCAGCCTTGACCACCCTTAACCACCCCTTGACCACCCTTGACCAGCCTTCACCACCTTGACCAGCCTTGAGCACACGCCATTTTCCCATCTCCCTTGTTCTCGCTCCGTTCCATCTGATTCGAGATGCGTGTCATGTGAGTCTATTTCGCTGTCATGCTCCACTTTGCGTCAGCTTCACCCGTCACCGAGTGTCACCGTGCCCGACCGCTCTCCTTGGCCCGCCCCGCCCCAAACCCTGCCCCACCTTCCTCTTCTCTCCTCACTCTCTCCCCACTCGCCTTACTCTTCCTTACATCTCATGGGGCAGGCAGCGAGCAGCGGTGTGGGAGGTGCTGCGGCTGGCAGTGGGAGAGGTGGAGGCGGCCACACGAGGGGGGACTGGAATAGGGGGCGCAGGTGGTAATAGCTGCAAGGGCAGTGCAGAGGGGGCAGAGGTGAAGGGAGGGGAAAGTGACAAGCAGTAAAATTTCAGCATGGAGCTTTCCATCCGAATAGCAACAAAGGCGGGAGGGAAGCAGCTTGGGAGGGCTGAGGCTGGCAGTGGGAGAGGTGGAGACCACCACACGGGGGTTGCAGGAAGAGGGGGCAGCAGCAAGGGCAGTGCAGAGCAGGTGGAGGTGGAGAGGGGTGGAGGCAGCAAGTTATGAAATGAAAGCATGGAGTCTTTGCTAAAATGGAAAGAAGCAGCAAGGGAAGGAAAGAAGCAGCTAGTGAAGTGCCGAGGCTTGCAGTGGGAGAAATGGAGGTGGCCACACGAGTGGAAGCTGGAGCAGGGTGCAGCAGCAAGGGTGGTGCCGAGGGCGTGGTGGAGGGAGGGGGAGGCAGCAAACAAGGAGTGAACGCACGAAAGTTCCTTTTTTTTAACTCTGCAGCAGTGTGGGCAAGGTAGCGACGGGGGTACCAGCAAGAGTGGTTCAGAGGGCGTGGAGGAGGGAGGGGAAGGGAAGAGGTGAAGGAGATGTGGGAAGGCATTTGGGGGAGGGGGGGTGGGGGGAGGAGGGAGTGGGGGTTTGGAGGGCACACGATTGCAGAACCCAGCGGAGGCTGCACGGTAGTCGCTTGACAGGCGGTTTTTTAGGCGCCTTAGAAGCTGTTCCTCACTAAAGAAACACAGTGCCACACAAGAAACAAACGTGTTACTATATGTAGGTTGTTTCTTCTGTGGGCATATAGTACCACTATGCTGACTGTCGCGCATGTTCCGATTTCTGTCTTTCCTCTCCGGCAAGCAACAATCTGCAAGTGAATACCGAGAAATGATGTTATCAGTTGTAAAAGAGAGTGCGCGAGATAACGAATAACGAGACTGTAATTGAACGAACTGAGAATACAATGAAGGCACGTGCTAATGTAGTGGCTAGTCTAGCTAGGACATCGCGAACTTGGTCGGAGTGGTAAACAAGTTGGAAACGAGTCGTGGGCGTGTAGTTTTCGATTCCTGGCATTTTCCCCTGAACTGCAATTGGTTGCCGATACATCTGTCAAGTAGCAATCGACAGGTGCAGCGAAACTCCCCCAAGCCCTTCGAGCTGGTTCGGCAAATTTGGGCGAACACTTGCAGGACAACTGGCGCGTGAACAATTGTCACAACTTTTTTCCTATTGGCTGTCGGCCCATCCAGATTCAGTCCGAATCGTACTCGATTAAAGGGGGTAACTGTCAACGGGAGTTGGGTGTTGGCCCCGTCCTCGCTTGGGCGGAGCTGACTTCGTGGTCGGATGTAGGGGTGCAGCCGACCTGCAGCAGTGGGCGGGCTGGTCGACGAGGTTGGTCGACCTGCACGGGAGCCATTGCATGGGCGCCGACTTCGGGAGGGCGCCAACTTCGGGTGGTCGACCCGGGACGTCGACCAGCCCTTCTGGTCGACTTGGGAAGTCGACCAGACCTTCTGGTCGACCTGGTAAGTCGACCAGCCGTTCTGGTCGACCAGGAGTGACGTCGACTTGGAGCTGGTCGACCAGGGGATAGTGGTCGACCTGGGGAGGTCGACTGGAGGTGGCCGTCGACTTGGGAGGTCGACCGACACGTACCAGAGGGAGTGGTCGACCTGGGAGGTCGACCGGAAGTGGTCGTCGACCTGGGTGGTCGACGGGCACGCACTGGAGCCTCTGGTCGACCTGGTTGCCCGGTCGACCAGGTTACCTAGGTGACGAGGTGCTGCGAAGGCTTGCGATGGTCGCCCAGGTGGTTTTGGCGAGGACGACCTCGGTAATGGTATCCCGAGGTCGACGTGGTGCATCAGAAGCAGTCGTCAGCACGAAGTTGATGTGGTGTGTGCGTTGTGCAGGTGACGAGGCACTGCACGCCAATCGTCTGCGAGCACCTGCGAAGTAGGTGCGCTGCTGTCCTGCGGGAGCAACGTTGGCGCGCCGTCAACCTGCGACGTTGGCACGCCGTCGACCTGCAGTGTTGGCAAGCCGCGACTCTGCGCTGCTGGAGCGCGGTCGACCAAGTTGTGCTGGCGCGCGGTCGACTGTGCTGCGCTGGCAGTCGACCTGCTTGCATGCTAGCTCTGATGTAGTCTTGCCTTGCCAACTTCTTTGTATCATTGTTGTCAACTTTCTCTAGTGAAACTCTTGCCAAATTGTCTTGTGAACTAGCAAGCAGTGTGTGCACTAGGAAAAGGACCGAGGAACGCAGAGATCACACGAGCACACGTGCCTAGCCCGTAGTCTAGCTCCCGTTACTAGAGCTATCTCCGCAGTAACGCAATTTCAATCCGAACGACAGTTGTAATTAAAAAAATTGATTCGTGATTTTAGTGAGAGCTGACGTTAACGAATAGCACATCCATAAAATTGAATAGTCAATAAATATGAGTGTACCGAACAGATGGAATAAATGTCATTCAGCATTAAAAGAAACATTTTTTTCCATGCCAATATTGAATGTATTGTAAAAACGGTTCTGAAATCAATAGAAACGGGCTTTTATTGAAATAGCAAAAATCATACATATAGATCTACACATCTATACCTCTAGCTACCACACATCAACCAGTAAACTACTCCCGGCCCCAGAGCACTGGCTGCTCCTCTTCCTCATCATACTCCCGTTCCTCTGAGTCAATGTTGCCTGTCAGCTCATCCAAGCCAAAATCTCCAAACTCGTCTGCCTCTAGCTCATCCTCTGGAATTTCCTTCCATCCGACGATGCAGACCTTCCCAATCCCATTGTAACCGTCCGTGCAAGTAACTTCACTACGGTTGATCCAGCGCTGCACGACACGTGCCTGCCTGGCAAGGGCACTAGGATCTCCAGAGCGATCCAGTTGAGCCTTCGTGGTGCTGGGATGGCGGAACTTGAACCTCACCTGCAAAGAAAGTTAACATCCACTGTAAGATGCACAACAGAGTATATACATATGGAATTTGCGAGTGTTCAACAGAAGTCCGCGCTTACCGCTGCAAGGATGACTAGCAGCTGAACAGCAAACAAACCGACTGGCAAGTCGCCACTGGAATCCCACAGGCTTGTACACTTAAAAAAGGCGGGGCTGGAAAATGGCTTCCCAGTCTCGTCGACATGCCAGGGGATGCCCAAAAACTCTGCAAGTGCACCAAAGATGAATTTAGAATAGGCCACAATGGTAAATCGATTAGCATACGCTTAACGACTTACTGTGGGCGAGGCGCAGAACGTAACCAGCACACAACTTGGGTAAGTCTTCAGGCACCACGTATACAATCTCGCCCTTCGCATTTCTCTTTCTGCGCAAAAAAACGCACGGTTTGTTGCTCAAAGCATGGAGACGACAACCTCAGTAGATTTTACCGATCCTGTCGTTAAAGCGCACACACGCGTGCTTGAAAAGGCAATTTGCCTTCAACATGACTGCGAGCCTCAAGCCCCCTGAAGAGCCAACGGTGTGGCCGGATTTCCCTGCACACGGCATACGACACAGGTGAGCCAGAGAAATTGTGAAGAATAAGACAGGTTGTGACAAGACTTACTAATCAATGCAGAGAGCATCTGTCCAAGCTGGGGTGACAGGTTCAGTGTATCCTGCTTGAAAGGGAAGTCGTCGCATGACTCCTTAATGTGGACCCGAAATGCAGACACAAAAGCAATTAGTGACTGCGTCGGAAGAAAATCACAGACATTTAGCAACTCACCCGCCAATCGACTTTCGCGAGCTCATCATCAGCAACCTTTTGCGCCAGATGCTTCAACAGAGCAAGCGCATCCTTCACATCCGTATCCCGGCTTTCAAGCTCCTTTTGAAGTTCGCCGACGATCTTCTCCTGTTCGTCAAGCTTGATTTGCAGCTCGTCATTCACATCCAGATGTTGCCTTCCCTCTTCGCGAAAACGGACAGCCTCCGTGGCATAGGGCTTCCCTGTCGCCCGGGTCATCGCCAACTCCATCGGGGAATCTCCAGCTGCCGAAGGAAATAAATAGAGAGAAAAATGCGTAGAAAGTATAAAAGGGAGAAGATAGGAAACAAGGATTGCAAACACAAAGTCAGAAACTCACCCTCAGCCTCATCATCTTGATCAGCAGCGACCGCCACATCAGCATTTGCAGCCATCGTCGTTACAACAGGGGGATGACGGTCACCAACGCCTTGAGATGAACCGCCCGGAGAAGCATCGACGAGAGTAGCCTGGGAGGTTTTCGCCGCGGACTGTGGCGCAGTACTCTTGCCTCCCATGCCAGGAGTTGCAGTTTTAGACACGTCCTTCGAGCTGCGCCGAGCTACCGGTTTCCGAGGTCCGGTAGGACGGCGGTCGGATGGAGCCGGCTCGGTAGCGTCGTCAGCCACACCTGCGATGACGGAAAAAAAAAAAAAAACGATTAGTCGCATAATAACCACAAACAAGGAGAGAACTGTGAAAGCGGGGAAACCAGACACTCCGTACCTGTGGAACCGTTGCTCGAGATATACTTGTGATTATCCTTACTGGCACGGGAGGGCATATGCCTAGTCTGCAGATGCATCATGGAGGGTGGGACTAGCCCTTCAGGATTGCCGCGCGTCATGATTCGTGAAACGAATTATAAACAACGGAAAGCGTGTAGCCAGTGGTAGCAACGAAGTCATATTAATAGTCTAGTAAAATGATAATAATGAAGTACAAAGGAAGCGGCTCGAGAGCATAGAAAGAATGGGTTATATCGGAGAAAGAACCGCACCGTTATCCGAACGAAGTACCCCGCTACCGAACCACATACAGCGCGGCGTGAAAATGGTGGCTCGGCATGGGGCAAACGCGGGTAAGGTCGGCCAAGGCGTAGCAAGGGAAGTTCAAAACTTGAAATTTGAATTTTTAAATTTCAGACACGACGCTCGAGCAACAACGATTACAGCACGGGAGGAGAGGGGGAAAAGGGGGGCCCGGAAGGGAGTGTGTAAGGGGAAGATGGTTGGGTGACTTAGAAGGACAGGAGGGTTGGAAGGGGGGGGGGGGGGGGGTGGGCTGGTGACTGCCTCGAAGCGCGTGACAACGCGGAGGAGATGAAGTGCTGGAATGCCCCGCTGGAGTGCTACACTGTGGCTGTAACTGTTTATTGACAACTGTGTACATTGCAACCATGCCCCGCTGGAACTATACTCCGCTGCAAATTGGTTGCTCTGTTTGTCGCATTGAAAACAGTGAATCAGCAGCATTTACATTTGATTGTTTTTGGGTATGTCGAGGTGTACATCACCACACTCAACCAGTGACCCATCTGCAGAGTTGCGCTTATGGGCAGACGCTCGTAACAGGTAGAAAGTACAGTTGCAATTGTATCGGAGACCAGGAGGGTGGGTTCGTGTATCTCGAAACCCACGTCAACACGGTGGTGTTGCAATTTGGATTGCATATGCCCCGCTGGAGCCAAAAAAGGTGTTGCGACAGCTATCGACGAAGAATCGAGGTTTGCTATATTTGTGTCCATGCGAAACAGATGAAACGAAAGTTAATGTTAACGGTTTTTTTGTGTGGCTTGTACTGTGCACAGCCACACTCAACGTTCATGCGCGCAATTTCATTGTTTGCCTAGGTGCAAAGTGTATCCGTCACGCTGAGAGAAAAACACCACATACAACTTATGGTCGACGAGAGAAGCTTCATCTAAAAAGTTTCGACCGGAGTGTACTTCTTGACTTCTGGGAACAGTACAGTCGCACAAGACAACTACCTTTGATGGTCCAGTTGTTCAATGTGGATTTTGGGATGAGTTGACGCCCGTGCCACCGACGGAATTCAGCAATGGAAGTGTAGGACGTTTATCGAAACTCGCGTGAACAGCAAATTATTCGATATATGGCTACCAGATAATAGTTCAAATGCAGTTTTTTTAGTTACACTACAGCGTGTCACACACCACATGTTACTTTAACAGGAATGTTCAAATCCTACTAGTGAAAAATACAATCCCACTAGAAACTACCTATACATGCTAACAAAAAAGAATCTGTACAATTTAAACACAGTATATTCATAATGCAGTTATTATACGCACTACCATCTAAAATGGTTCCATACAAACTTGGCGTTGGGATGAGCCGGATCTGCAGTTTTGGGCACGACGTGGATCACACGCAAAATGCTCTCTACCGGCACCACTCCGTAACCCCTGCCTGATGGCCACCATTTGAGCGTCTTCATGTCAGTAACTGCAGGCTGTGCTGTAGTGGCATAGTAACGACAGAATGCCAGCTCTTCCGAAATTTGCACCTCTGTAGTATTTCCGACAGCGTCCACCGTTTGCACTATCCGCCGCAATGTGAAGATGCAAAACAGCTTCGCACGCCAAACCTGCTTCACGTTGTTGTCGTCCTCACCCTCGACGTCAACATCAGAAAACCAGGGCTTCCCATAGAACAATGGAGTGGCACGAGCGTACTGTGGGTATCTGCTATATCTTGTGAAATCGTCGTCCGGCGGCACAGCGACACCGCCGTGCAGCTCGATCACGTGATGATAGTGCACCTTCGTACGCCTGTCGAGATGCTCCTGCTGAAGATATCCCTTGATGCTGCCTTGCACCTGACGGAAGTTGCCCTGGACGCTCGACTTATACGCCTTAAAGTTCTTGTCGTTTGGGTCTCCCAGCACTATCCGTAATGACGCCCCAGTCATTGTTGCACGTCCGCTCTCGATTGCCTGCTCATGCAACATAAGATGTAGTGAATTTGCCTGAAGAATGACAACATACCAACATCAATGTGCGCAACGACAATTACAAAACCTGGAAAACAAAATACGGAAAGAAGCAGATGGCAACATCTACAAAAACCACCAACATCGCGAAAACAGTTGCATGCAACAACGACGACGACAATGACGACGACGACAACAAATACGACAAAAGCGACTACAACGACTAGAACAGCAACTATGACGACGACGACGAAGACAACGAAGACGACGACGACTACAACGACACCGACGACATCGACAATAACGACGACGACAACAACCGTGACAATGATATCGACGACGACGGCGACGACGAAAACGTCAAAGAGAAAAGCAACAACTTAATCGCGGACCTGTTGTAGGGCCACACTTCTTGCTTGGCTATCGCTCTCCTCCTCGACAGACGTGGTCATCTTCTCGATCAGCTCAGAAATGAGGCAACGCCGAGTGTTCGATGCCTCAGCGTTCCTCTTGTTGGACGCTCTGTACGGGCGCTTCATCACAGCGACGTGCACATGCTCGTAGACATCCGTGTAGTAGTGTATCGGTATGCCACGACGCCTGATGTCGTCGGTGACATGCAGCATCGCGTGAATCTAGGGACGTTGAACTCCGACTTCTGGTCCCCCTTGAATTCGCTCATGATCATCGGCACCAACCTGCACAAATATGAACAGAAACAAAGAGTAGTCGGTACATGTGTTATGACACTTTGAGTTACAGACATTGTACATTATGACGCAAACAGTTGCATTCGCTGATGGCAAGCAATTAAAATTACGTATACTCACGTGCGTGTGATCTTGTCCAAGTTCTTCAACGAATCGTTGTCGTGGTACGTCCGATGCCACCCTCGGAGTGCCAATGGCAAAACAACTCCACTGCACGGATTGTCTTGTCATCGACATCGGCCATGAGCAAGAGCACCGGCAACACTTGCATGACTGCTTGATGATGAAAAGCCTTGAAAGTGGCATGTCCGCTGAAATAACCATCTGTGTGCGCTGGGAGTCGGAAGAACGACTGTCTGCTGTACTGGGTGATGGTGCGCAGCGAAGCATCGAGCTTCTGCAGTGTCTCTGTACTGAGCTTCGAATTCAGACCTTCCAAGATGTGCTTGTACACACCCAAGAGTGACATGTGCATGAAGTCAGATAAAATTTGCCGATAAGGATTAGCAAAATCCTTATTGGCAAATCGCTGACCCCACAGGGCGCTCTGCTCAACGACAAGCAATAAGGACGAGTTAGAATGGGACCAAAACTTCCATGCCAACATCACAACAAAATAACAACAACAATGAATGCAACTTATATGAAACTTACATGGATGCAGTGGGTGCTGAGATCTCGTTCAATCTCATCTCGTGCTTCCTTCGTGCGCGCGCGTTCCATCTCGCCGACGAGCTCTTTTTGACACTCCTCATTCCGAAACAGCACTGGGTAGTCCATGTTGTTAAGCTCCTCCTTTGTTACTAGGCATCTCTGTTAGAAATACTAGGAGTGGGGCCTAGGCTTAGTAGCCTAGGCCCACACTAAGAGGTAGTAGGATGTGCCCTAGGACTAGGGTTTTGGGTATGCGAAGGAGAATTGGGGAAGGGAGAATGGAGAATGGATGATGTGAACTAGCAAGCAGCAGGATACATATAGGAAACCCTAAGGGGTTGTACTCACTATTGAGCACCCCACTGCAGGCTAGACAAATAACATTCTAACACACCCCCATAGCCAAAGTGGGGTGTAATCAGCACACGTGAGAAGTCACAGCAATAGTTCACAATTATCAGCAAAGCTAGTGGCAGTCACAGGAGGCCAGTGAGGAGGAGGAGGAACTGTGGAGGGAGAGAAGAGAGGAGGCGACGACTGAAGTTGCAGACACACGGGCACCAGGAGCACCAGGTTGCAACCTCCTCCAACTGTCTCACTCCCCCCTACACTCACCCCCAGTGTCACCACTCGCTTCTCGCCCACATCACCCCCTTAGCACCACTCCCTCGTCTCCCACACATCCACCCCCCCGCAGCGGCAGCTGCAGCAGTGGGAGACGGAGGAGAAGGTAGGGGCGACGCACAAGGAGCACCCCCACACCCGCCACCCCCACACCCTCCTGTCCAGGGGACGCAGGGGGGGGGGGGGGGGGGGGGGGGAGGGCCGGGGCGGGAGAGCGCACGAGGGCGCAGGCAACCGCGCGTGCAGAGCAACAGCGCGGAGCAGGTAGGGTAGAGC